GGAAGACTGTTTATGTTGTGGTTTAGGGCTTCTAGAGTTCTTCCAAGCTTTTCTCTAATGAAGTTTATAGTCCTTGGTTTTAGTCCTACGTCCATGGTCCACTTTGAGTTGGGTTTTGTGTGTAGAGTGAGGTATGGATCTTCCTTGAGTTTCATGCAGATAGTTTTCCAATTTTGTCAACACCATTTGTTAAAAAGGTGATTTCAGCTGATTTCTGGATTCTCAATTATATGTCCTTGATCTGTGTGTCTGTCATTGTACCAGTATCACACTGTCTTGACCAACAAGGCAGTGTAGTAGGATTTGAAATCAGGGAGTGAGGTGCCTCCTACCTTGTTTCTCTTTTTAAGGATTGCTTTGCTTATTTGGGGCCTCTTTCCATACCAAATGAAACTGGAGATTGCCTTTTGCATCTCCTTGAAGAACGGGATTGGTATTTGTATTGGGACTACATTGAATGTGTAAATTGCCTTTGGTAGTATTGTCATTTTCATAACATTTAGACTTCCTATCCAAGAGCAAGGTATATTCTTCCATTTCTCCAAGTCTCTTTTTGTTTCTTGTAGTAATATTTTTTGTTTTGGTTTGTTTTGTTTTAATTTTAATAATTTTAATGAACATTTACAGAGATTTTGGATTTCCATTCATTGAATGCTGTACTTCACTCCCCACCCAGCCCTCCAAGCACCCCCAGGTTACTCCTCTCTTTGAAAAGTAAAAGAAACACTCCCTCTCTGGTACACAATCCCCTTCCCACACCTCCCACCACCCCAAGTACATTCCATTATGCAACCTTAATTGTGGACTCTTGTGATAATCATAATAACCTATCATACATTGCTTTTAAATTATTCTCTCCTTCATCTGTTTCAGTGTAGCATACACAATTTACCCAGTTTTTCCTCAGTCTTACCCCAACCCTGATATCAGTCCCATTTTACAGCAGTGGCACCATGCAGTATTTGTCCTTTTGTGACTGAGATATTTCACTCAGCATAATGTCCTCCAGGGTCACCCATTTTGAATAACATTGGATGAGTTCCTTGGTTTTCAATGCAGCATAGTATTCCATTATGTGAACATACCACAGCTTCTCTATCCATTCGTTTGTTGATGGGCACCTAGGTTGTTTCCAACTCCTTGCCATTGTGAACAAAGCTGCAATAAACATGGGTGTGCATATATCTGCTTGGATGTCAGTTATGGTATCTTCAGGATATATTCCCAGTAGTGGAATTGCTGGGTCAAATGGTATCTCTATTTGCAACTTTTTGAGCAAGCGCCATACCACCTTCCACAGTGGCTGCACACAAGTCAAGTTTTACTAATGATAATTCATAACTGTTTGCAGCAGTACATGGACAGGGAACTTCCAGAAATTCAAGATGGATTCAGAAGAGGATTTGGACCAACGGATATCATTGATTATATTAGATGGATCTTGCCTAAAAGTAGAAAATACTGAAATGCATTTACTTTTTTTATTGACTATTTAAAGTTATTTAACTGTGTGGATCATAAAAAATTATGGATAATATTACAAAGAATGAGAAATCTATAACACTTCCTTAAACTGCATACTCTCAGAATGGCAGTGCAGTTTCTTGCCACTAGGCCACCAGAGTTCCCTTAATACACCATAGATTTAGCAAAAGAACAAATTACTCTGCCTTTAAAGGAATACAGCCACAGTAATCCTTAGAAGAGAAGATGACAACATTTCTACTCACATACTATGGGCCCTTATCAGGAGGGGTTAGTCCCTGGAAAAATACACCAAATTGCTTCATAAAGTAAAGGGTCAACAAAAAGGAAGACCTTCAATAAGACGAATTGTTACAATGGCTGCAATGATCAGTTTAAACACAGCAGTGATTGTTAGAATGATGCAGAATTTAATTTTGTTGTGAGTTGATATAGCTTTCCACTGGCTGTGCAATTCCTTACCACTAAGCCACCAGAGTTCCCGAGCATTTACTGAGCTATTACAATACTATATATCATGGTCAATATCAGGTGTTAGAGATGCAAAAACAAAGGTTCTTGCCAGTTCACTTTGGTCAATAAAGATGGAAAGATGATAGTAAATTTTCTTAGAATGGTGTATTGGAAATTGTTATGGATATTTACAATGGATATATACTTAGGCAGAAGGAGGCGTGGTATCCACTTCCATAATAGCTTGCCTCCGGAAACCCTTTGAACCTGGAGAGAGGATGAAAGGCACCCAAGCGTTGAGGACTCTCCTTCATAGGGTCTCTATGAGTCGCCTGCGACTCTACGGCACTTAACAACAACATATACTTAGGCTACTCTAAGAGCACAAAGGAGGGGCATTTGTTTTTGCCTTATTCATCTCTTGGGTTGTTGTTGTTGTTGTTGTTATGTGCCATCAAGTCGCTTTCGACTCATAGCGACCTTATGTACAAGAGCTCTAAATGCTGTTCTATCCTGTGCCAAGCTAGCCATCTCAAATGCACTTATTCCCACCGCTCCAGTCACAGAATTGATCCATCTCACCGAAGGTCTTCCTCTCCTTCGCCTCCCTTCCACTCTGCCAAACATGATGTCCCTTTCCAAGGACCAGTCCCTCCTTGCAACATGCCCAAAATATGTCAG